GATCGGAAAGGTATGAACGACAGCAAAGTACAATTTTATTTTTTTAAGTTTGAGAATACTTTACTTTTTCCAAATACATTTTCATTTGCTAGACAACTCGCCGATCTCAATTTTATGCCCACCCTGGGGAACGGTCATTCAGGCTATACCGTGCTGGGCGACGCGATCTTCGTGAATGGTGTCTATAATGGCGAAGGTGGAAATAGTCGCCGTGCACGCATTCCCAATTGGCTCAACCTGAGTGTAGCCACTTTACAGTATGAAGAATGGGAACTTGCCATCATACCTGATAGCTATGAAATGCAACTACGAGATGGCTACTTCCGCTGGCAATTTGCCTATGGGGCAAATGGATTACAACTGCAGTTAGAACAGCGTACATATCCACATCGCTACTATAATCGCGCATTGATCTATGAACTTTTTGTGCGTTGCACCGGCGCTATAGGTACGAGTATCTAATAAAACGACAACACCGGATGCGTAATGGCAAGGAAAGCCGATGTGAAGATCTACTATACACGCAATGAACTTCCGTTCTTGATATTTTGTATTTATGCTTTTTCATCTGCTTTTTTTAGATCCACTTCTGGTGAAGTTAAACCAAAAATCAGGAAGTAGAAGCGAAGCTTTCGATTTTTCATCATTAAAAAATGCTAATGGAATAGTGAACTATAAGACTTTGCAAGGTAGAACAAGGCAGGTAGAGCAGCCAGATTTTCAGTCGGACCTAAGAACGATTTTCGTGGTATTTAGTGATGATTGGGAAAATGAACGAACTTTTGAAGTGGCAGCAGGGCAAGAAGAATTTTATTACCGCTATGTGATTACGGTTGACGAGAAAGAAGAGGTGGCTCGGCGGGAAATGGAAGAAGGTAATTTGGTACCTAAAGCATGCATGCATCTGTGTATATACATACATATTTACATATGCTCATATGTATAGCTGCGAGCACCCTAACAGCAGTAAAATTCAAAATTATGCTGCTGGTAGATTATGTTTATTTATTTATTGTTAATAATTTTCATTTAAAATATGTTTCATGGCTTGCATAAAGTTCACAAAAATTAATTAAACTAAAAAAAAGGTTCATCAAAATTTCAATTTTTTTTTGTGGCGCATTCAATTTTAGTATAAGAAAGTTCAAGTTTCAAGTCGCTAAAAGCTACCGTTGATTTTTTACAATTTTTTTCGTCGAGGGTGTGCGCATTTTTTTAAGTGGAATTAATTTTTGTGAGCTTTAAGCACGCTTTGAACATTTTATTTTTGCGATTTCTGTTACAGATTGACCCATATTTTAAATGAAAATTATCAACAAGAAATAGATAAACATAAGTTTCCAGCAGGATCGTTTTGAATTTTACTGCTATTATTTTACTCGCAATTATATGTATTTACATTAGGGTGGCCCAAAAAAAATTAAACAAATTTAAGTTCTCACTCCTAGGATTTTTCTAAATGAAAAAGATTTTGCCCGTACTCTTTATGATATTTAGAACTGCCTCAAAGCCCATGAAGTTTTCCATATATTTTATATGGGAAAAAATACTTTTTCGTAGAAATGGTATAAAATTCCTGAAAACCAAAACCCAAAAAATGAAATGGGGACCCATAAAAAATCGTTAGTTTACAAAAATTGTAAAATAAACAATTGGGTATTATTAGCGGAAGACTCCTGAAGACAAACAAAGTTTTCCAATCGAAAAATATTGATTTTAAGGAATTCTATACCATTTGGACGAAAAAGTGATTTCCCCACATAAAATACCTGGAAAACTTCATGAGCTTTGAGGCGGTTCTAAGTATCATTTTTTTAAAAAGAATTTCATTTTAAGTTGATTAACATTTGGCTTTTCATAAAAATTTTTAGAAAATTTAAAAATGCATATATATGCATGTCATCTATAAAAGTAAATCTCAACGTGGTAGAAAAAGAACAGAGATGTATTTTAATTTAACATGCATACTTACATATGTATTTAAAAAAATACATGAACATAAAGATTGGAAAGAAGAAAAAAAGTTAAATTCCGCAGGCCTATGTATTTTATTCGCCATCAAGGATTAATATCATTGCTTTAACATGTATATACATATATTAATTTACATTCGCAGTTATGAAACTTTCCTCCACGGAGCTGTTGGAAAAACATACACAGGAATGGCACAAGTTCTGGCTGGATTTTAACATACAGATTAATGGAAATATAGAATTGGTAAGATTTAATTTCTTCTTCCGGGTCGAGAATCAGAAACTTCGCCACTTCCCTCGTTTGGGAAGTTTAGCCAAGTATAGACAGGTCCTTTGGTTTTCGTCCTTACACATGGACGCCCTTGCCGCCCGTTTGTGGCGGGTGGAAAGACCTTTTTTCTGAAGCATCAACCACCTATGTGTATGTCGTTACAATAATTCACATAGGGCCTAACCGACACCTTTTTTCGAAACTGCGTTTCATAGATTTTTGGGTGGGATATATGTATTAAAATACACCTCCACTAAAAATTTTATTGAATTAGTTTGTACCAAACGAACTTTTAAGAAACCCTTGCTGTTTTTGATTTTCTTTTCGCCCACGCGAACGGGGCCATAGATCTTACGTAGAATAGTTCTCTCGAAAGCTCCAAAGCCTTCTCATCTTTGATCATCATCGTTTATGTATCTGCGCCGTATCAAAGGTCTTGCCGAAAGAGGGCTTTACTTTTCAACTGCCTACCGAGCTCATGAGTTATACATACTTCAAAGTGAAACTGCCATAAGGTACTTTTGTTTTGTTCCCAATCGCGGCTTAACCCACCAATTTTGTCCAGTTATTGAGGTCAACGAGGTCGATATCATCCGCATATGACGCCAGCATCGTGCTTTTCAGATGATCGAGTTTCAACTGTAACTACTCTTCAATACCTTAAGCTTCAATGACCAATGATCTCATACAAAGGACAAATTTTAATAATCATTTCAAAGATAATATATTTAGAATACGTTTCTTCCCATTTTTTAATTATATAATTTAAAGCATCAAGCCTAATTTTTAACAGCCATTTCCGACTCAGAACAAAAGGACAACATTTTTCATGAGTTTCTGAGGCTGAGAATGTGAATAGTTTTTCACTATATAGGCACCTCGCAGGATGCACCGTGGTACCGCGGATCATTCATAAATAGTCAATTGACAGCGTTATTCCGTGGATACGTTCTAAGACCTTCCTAGAAGCCTCGTAAAATGGAACGAATCCGCGAGAGCTTTACAAATGGTGCCCACCAAAACAGCATTTCTCTAACTTTTGAGAACAAGTTTTTCCTTTAACTGAGAAAGACAAATTTCGATCAAAAAATTATGCCTTGTTACAAGCTTTTATTATAAAAACAAGTATAAAAATTTAAGAGCATCGTTAATTTCTTCATTATCCAATGACCGGATCTAAACCAAATTAGTATGGGACCTCCTTTGAGTTACCACCATTCCTTAGAAAACAGAATTATAGAAATCGGTTACCGTGGTTCAAAGTAATGCGGTAACATAGATAAAAAAATAAAAATGAAAAATTTTCCGACGAATTTATAACCTTCACCTTTTTGAAGTCTGTTAAAAATCAAATCTTACATTCAATTTTTAACAGACTTTCCGATGAGTTGGTGACATGAAACTTTAAACTTAGCTCAGAACCCGATGACAATGCAATATGAAAGAGGAATTAATCCGCTAGGAGGCGCAAGTGACGTACTCTTTGAAAAATCCGTATTTCCGGTCAGACATTTATATCTAAAGAAACAATTTTTCCTGAATTCTTCATCACAAAAGCCTTAAAACGCTATTGATTTTTTCCGCTAGCTGTTCTCGTTCTCCCGAGATATTAGAATTTGTCAGGAAAAATGTTTAATTTCCACACAGTGCGACGGTCTGCGCATAGTTAAGATGGATATGTAGACATAAATACCCAGCGTGTTTAAACCAAAATACTTTTAGAAAAAAGTTGGTTTCATGCGAAATGGTTGGAAATATTTAAAAACTTTCTAATGTTTACCTTTCAGTCACGTATAACTAATGCCGGTATATTCTATTTGGCCAACTCTCTGCCATCATTGCACACAAATCAACCGAACGGTGCTTATTTTGGTCTCAGCCCGACCGGATTGGGACGTGGACAGCTTGATGCAGACTATCAGGGGCATAATTTTTGGGATACAGAAATCTGGATGCTACCTGTTGTGACGCAATTCAACACCGACTGGGCTGAACAGCTTTTTCAGTACCGTTTAGAACATTTACCAAGCGCACGCTATAATGCCAATCGAACAGGCTACCGAGGTGCACGGTGAGCATTGGACTTTGGCAGAGCGTTGACAATGTTCATTTCCACATTAAGTATTTACTTCACAGCTTTCCTTGGGAGAGCGCCTACACTGGCACTGAAGTGATCAACGTTTGTTGTCCTGAAATTGCTACACAAGAAATTCACATCTCACCGGATATTTTATTTGCATTGCAACAGCATTACGCCTTAACGCATTCCACTGAGTGGCTATGTCGTGTTGCCTGGCCAATAGCGCAGGAGATAGCTGAGTTCCTAGTTAGTCGAGTGGTTGATGATGGACAGAAATATCATATAAAAGGTAAATTGAATTACTTGAATCAGTTAGCGTGAATATCCCTCTAAATGTTCATACAAACATAGATGTCATGGGTCCAGATGAAGATCACTCGGATGTAACTGATAATGTCTACACAAATGTGGTAGTCAAGACCGCGCTAGAATTCGCTGGGTAAATTTGGCGCATAATGCATTCGCATCTAATCAGCTAAAAATATTTAATTCGCTTTTAACAGCTTTGCGCGTTCCAAGTGCGTGAAGAGTGCAACTCTTCCAGACATTTGGCTTGACATTGCAGAGCGTATGACTATATTATACGACAAAGAACTGGATTATCATCCGCAGCATTTGGGTTACGAAAGCGATGAGATTGTTAAACAGGCTGATGTAATTTTGCTCGGTTACCCCTTACAATATGCAATGTCAAAGTAAGCTTTTGGTTGTTGAAATTTTAAAAATTTAAAGTTTTCTATAAGTATGTAGCGACATTTCCTAGTTCGACCCGATTAAACGATCTTAACACCTATGAGCGCGTCACTCGTGAGTCAGGTCCTGCCATGTCATGGTCGATGTTTGCCATAAACTTTCTGGACGTTAACGAGTTAGAAAAAGCTAGCACATATTTTCAAAAGGGCTACACAGAGTATGTGCGACCGGAATTTAAGGTAATTTGTAATATTGGATTATTTAAATAAAATTTCGCAAACAATTTTTTCACTTACTCATTAGGTTTGGAGTGAAAACCAAATTGGCTACGAAGGCTCTGCCAACTTTCTCACCGGCATCGGTGGCTTTTTGCAGACTGTTATCAATGGTTATGGTGGCATACGTTATCGTTTGGATGGACATCAGTCATTAATGGCAATCCAAAAACTGCATTCAATACCAACAACTGAGGGATTTACTATCAACGGTAAGCGCAACAGTTGTTAAGTTAGAACTCCACATCAGGCTTTTCCGGCGTTTAGCACTCTATTCATCAATAAATTTTATACATATCGCCGTTTAAAGTACAAAACCGCGTATCGTCATTCTGCAAAGCCGCGTAACTGACATTAGCTTCCAAAAATTGGATTTGCTTACACAAGCTCTTGGCTCAATCCTTATCCATTCGTCCTGAAATATACTAGCCAGAAATGCGATTGCTTTATAAAAAGAGAACTAGTTTGAAATATGAGTTCTTTTACTCTCTAGAAAATGATTTATGCAACTTCACATACGCGGTTTTGCATTTTGTTGATACGCGGTTTTGTACCTTAAACGACGATATGTATGTTGATGTGTGAGCGCCGAAATCCACAAGACCTAAAATTTAATCGCAAGATGGTCGGTTCTACGCATACCGGATTGATTTGGAGCACCAGTTCTGATCAAGGGCCACCACTACAGCAGCGATCACGAATTTGTTTAGCTTGGGGGCATGGCCCACCTGCGAATCTGCTCCGCACACTGCTGGTCCGCGCCGGAATAGTGAAAAACTCCGGACCTTGCTACATAGCCAAAGTTTGTTTGCCGCATAAACATATACGGCTCTTCAATTTCCGTCCGATACAATAGGTGGTACCACTTAAAAGCATCCTCAGATCTTCGGCACCGCAGGGTACAGAATGACAACTTTGTTGCTTCGTGCTACACTCTGCATCAAAATATTGGCCCGCGAAACAAATGGGTATGCAGCATTTTTGCCAACCAGATACAGCGCAACACAACATTAGTAAGGTGCAATACATGGAACAATTGGTGCCACCTGGAACGCTGTTCAGGGCTTTCACTGCCCAGCCGTCCCATTACAGCCACTGACTTCCGCGCAGCCACTAACGCACAGGACACCGGCACCGGCTAAAAGGATGGCGATAACACCGGTATCAGGCCCACACGATCCCGCCAGCGCCGAAAACCCAACAAAGCTACACAGGCAGCGCGTCACTCCGCAATGCTTATGCGGGTACCCAGACCACCGTTATTAATCTGCCAGGCCAGAGATTGGGCAAGTAAGAATAGGTTGGGTTATATGTTGTATTTGTGAAGAGGTTCAGCTGCAAAAATGCGTTAAGTGCTTTCAGTATGGGCATATATCTGGGAAATGCATGAGCTCTGTCGGTCGCTAAAGATTGGGAAAATAGTCCCCGATGCATGCGACGTAAAGCGGACAAAAAGCAACATAGATCTGGTTGCCGGCAGCAGTTACCAGTGTCCGGTCTTCAAGAAAGCTCTCACTAACATCTGTAGTTTTGGTTTAACGTAGGTACCTGCCGCAATCTAATGCAGTCCAAGCTCCACGAAGCTCAGAAGCTCAACGGATTAATTCATGCCTTAATCATTGCCCTGAAATGCAAACATTTCAGTACCAAAGGCAGTGTGGGGCGGACACACTTACCACCTTGGTGAGGCCGAAACCTACCTAAAATCTCTGCCGTTCTTTGGGTCCCGGCACCCGGTTGCAATGCAACTCCACATTGAACCCTTGTGAGTTCTACCCGCATTTGGGTATTAAACCACATCCCCCGCGATACTCCCCGAAGGGCCATACCTCACTGAGCAGACTGGAGTAGTGCTCGCCAGCCAGACTTACTTGACCAGCTCGAGTCACGCAACCTACTAAACATACCAGAATACACATGCTCAACCGCACAACTAAGAAGGCCTGCTTTTACTACATATTCAACAATCCACGGTTTACCTCAATATTTACACCGTGTTTTCAACCCTTTCTCCACATTTTCCACAGTTCCATCAGTTTTCAACATTATCATCCAGCTCGTCGCGCTCATCTCACAAGACTTACTGATCTCATTCCACCCCGAGCTGTCCCTCCCAGAGTGGAAATCGACTTTCAACCTTTGTTCGAGTCGCTTGACTCACCTCATTCATTCTGCTCGTCTCGCTACCCTCGCAGGTTTCTACACCTACTCGAGCAGCTTGACGAGCCACATTCTTCCTTGCAGACCTTGACAGCTGTACGATTTTACATGTGCATCTGGCCTGTCTTTTGGCCTTGTTCGTCTCACTAGTTAGCTTATCTAGCCAACGAACACGCTCCAGGGGCATCTGCTCGCCCGCGGAGCCTTTTTTATTTAAAGGTATGACTTTCGAAAGCCGAAGACTCTTCTACCAATTGAGCCTCCCACCGACTCAGGATTGGTAGCCTTTGACTGGGGTACCCGGGATTGTGGCACCCGTAGCCTCGCAAACGCGAAACCCCCCTGGGTTCGTTGGTACGGTAATCTCTACATCGGAAACTGCGTAAGCACAAGTCCTACACAGGTTCCCATGCGGAGCATCCCTGTTAGTTCATATCGACATGGAAACCCCAAAGGGCCACCATGTCACCACTTAAGATCTAGCCCGCGTCAAGGACACCAACGTTTCGCTAGATAGCTCTCACTAACAGGAGGAAATGATAATAGTTCAAATAACCCATATCCACTGTGAAGGAACGCAGGACACCTGCTTACGCATACGGTAAGCCTCCTTAAAGCCGATGTAGCGATTATAAATGTATCTTATAAATGTTAAGACAACTTCGATTGGTCATATGACAGCAAAAAATGCGCAGCTATATAGCTGTCCCATGGCGTGGGAGAAGGTTTCGTTCGATCACAAGCTAACGGAACTCACATTTTTAGTTTTTAGGCAAGGTTCAGCCTTACCAAAGAACAATATACAAAGATGCTTCGGGATATAGCCTTGAAAGCCAAAAAAAAATCCCCTCTATGGGGCAGCAGACATACAAAAAAAGAGGCGATATTCGACCTAAAAATTTCGCGCAACTGGATTGCGCACATTAGAGCGAAACGATACGCGAATTGCAGGAAAGTCTCCTAAAATTGCTATAAGCAACAGTAGGCGCGATTGTTTTAGGAGAGTGTGCGAAATGCAGGAAATCACCAAATATCACGTGCCTGAAAATACTGCTTAATATAAAACAGTGTCAAACTGTATGTGTAACGAATATGGTGAAGTTCCATTAATAACAAATGAGAAACTTTTGACTATCGGAACAAACATGAAAGATGGGAAAGTTCCTGGCCCTGACGGGATTCCTAATAAGGTCCTGAAAGTCGCGATACGCTCACAAAAACGCTCACACCTGCCTGAAAGAAAACACATTTCCGAGTAGGAAATAAACCGCCGGGAGAACCCTCGTCTTATCGTCCTATATGCCTACTGGACACACTAGGAAAAATTCTTTTGGCTTCAGAAAATTTCGGTCGACCATAGACGTTAGTAAATCGGTAGTCGACATATCCAAAGAGGCCATCGAACTCAAAACATGACGCGGAGGGGAAAATTAGTACTTAGTCTGTTCCAATAGCAGTCCGGTTTACAGGATTTAGTCAGAACTTACAGGAAGTCGTTCCTATTGACACAAAACCTGTAAGTGGGAACACATTTGAGAGAGTAAATGAGCAACTGTTCCTAGTCAGAAGTTTCAGGATTTAGTCCGGAGATTTTTTTCCTGTAAGTTCATGAAAAGTGTCAAACGATCAGCTGATTTACATGTGCAAACAAAAACAGAAAGCAGTGAAAGCAAAGAAGCTTATATTTGTTAAAAAATGGAAGTAAACAACGAAATATTTGAATATGTATAAATTTTAATAATTATTTAGTGATATTTCAGCCAAATCGGTGTAGTACCAATGACATGTAAACAAACCGTCTGACGTTTTTACAGGAAATAGTGCTTTTTGCGTTCCTATGCACTTCTGCATCTGTTCTCCTTTTACTCTCATTTGAGAGCGTAAAATTGTAGTTTGACAGTTCCACAGGTTTTAGTCCGAAGTTCAAAGGAACAGACTAACTGCGTGTTAATTACGCTGGACGTAAAGAACGCCCTTAATACTGCCAGCTAGCAGCGCATAAGTGAAACTCTCATTAAGATAGAAGCTCCAAGATATATCATAAGAGTAATAAGACCACAAGCTAAACATTGTAGAAGTATCCTTCCCAGTAGGGAGGTCAGCTCAGTTTTACTTTATGCTGCTCCGATTTGGGCCAAAGCAATTGCGGTAAAATGCTACGCAAGGAAACTTACAGCTGTGTATGAATTAAGTGCACTGAGAGCTGTTTGCGGATTCTCCCAAATTTCTGATCAATCGTCCTTTGTAATCGCCGTACTGATCCCAGTACATGATCTTTTCAACTTCTTTACTGCCAGAAACCTTGTCATCTCTGCCGTGAAATCCACCGACACACTATTGTCCACATGTACCCAAAATCCTGGGTCAGCAGCTTTCTCAGCACGTACCTCCTCCACCTGTAATAAATACCGTTGCAGGAACAAAGTCCTCAAGTCGCTAGCCGGCAGCACCTGCAGAGTCGGCAAAGAAACCCTTCTCATAACGTACATATAAAGAGATCGGCCGGTAGATGGCAAACTACGCAGTCGACTGGAACTAGGGACACGCAGTGGAGAAATCTAAAATCTGCCGGAACGCAGCTCTGCGTACGGTTATAAGCTAGCACTGCATGCCGTACGAGCATCACCTCCACCGTTAAAGTTACTGACGGTGAAAGAGCGGAACACCAAGCTATCGAAGCACCCGCGTGGTATGTCATCGTGTGAAACATCCCAGCAACGCTTTGTTTCTTAACGATCTGACTCGAAATGGCACCTGCACGATAGGGGAACAGATATCGAGCCTTACATAGACCATTCGTTCTACAAAGCGCGATACAGTGCGGCACTCAACAACCTGTCAACATAGCGATGCAGTCAGGACTTGTCTCAACAATTGTATTTGTCAGCACCCCGAACTGCCGAAAGGAACCATATGCACCTTACCACAACTCCTTTCTGGTTGGTGCTACAGGCTCAATAACTACCTCACTTGGCTAAACTGAGAATTGAAAAACACCTGCCCATCATGAGGTCAAGGTCAACACAACACCCAAAACTCTTCGCAAGCACGTCCAACCCTGCGCCCCTTACATGGGAAGCATAACCGGCGGACGTGGGAATTCCTCTTAGTTTCACCAGCGGTGGGGTCCAAGTGGCCATCAGGAAGGCGAAAGTTTACAAAGTCATTGATCCCGAAGGAATAGGCATGCTATTGCTGAAAAGATTGAGTTCATCATTTCCGACGTGTTGAAATCGTGGAATCTGCTTAAGCCAGATAAGCCTGGAGGGGTTTTATTTGCCGATAAGGCTCCTCTACCCTGTCGCGAGGCATTAGAGGTATTGCTACTCCCGCACTTTTCGTACCACATGGCCCCAGCGAGGCAACAGCATGGCTTCCGCGAAGTGTACAGCACCATGACAGCACTTAACGCCATAAACACTCAGATAACTTGTGGCCCGAATACTCCCAGTAAAGAGGCACAGAATCATGCTCAGCAAGCAGTTCATAGTGGGGTGATACAGACACGAACACCGAACGAGGTCCAGCACTACGTACAGCGCCGCTGGAGCTGGGACTGTACAGAATATTAGCGGCATTCACAGATAGGCTGTTACCACCTACTCAGACTCCAGTCGTGTGAATGCCGCCATCAGTGCCCAGCTGCGGACGAGAGTGAGCTTCAACTGCCGCGAAAGACCCGCGTAACTCTGGCCCAGTTAAAGTCTGGATATTGTAGCCGTCCCAATTCTTACCTATCCCGACTCGTCTGCCAACATCCCCAATGAGTGTTCAGCATGTGGAGATTCTACCCAATACAGCAGACCACTTCTTCACATGCCTGCTCAATCCAACTTAACTTACACCCCTCTCCCCCTAGTTCGTCGCCACCGAATGGGCCTACGGTTAGTTGGGCCTGAGAACAATTTAGGGTAAACTAAGTAAGCCGTTATAACAATAACAAAGTCGTCTGCTTCCACGGCTTGCAGGGGCTGAAGCAACACCCGAGAAGTTTGGTGTGAAGTTCCAAATTCGCAGCTGCAACATAAACTTATGTATGTAATGTTTACCTATATATCCATATCTTATGCTGCATTTAGGTCTTAAATTTGCGCGATCGAAGTTTTCCCTAAAGATTCATGCAAATAGCACAGCAACTTTAAGCTGTTTGGAAAAAGGCGATTTAGACATAGAACTATCAGTCGGCTCACAAAAGTATGTGATATCGGCCAGTTTTTCAAGTAAGTCACTGCTATTATTTTAAGCACATGAAATTTTCTATTGATTTATTTAACTGTTTTAGTTAACCTAGATGACAATGTCGCGTATCTACGCACCGTCTAAATAAATAAAGGTGAAGTTGAATTTTTTACGCACATCCGTTTTATTATACATAGACGCTCGGAGAAAATGAAATCATAAAATGGAATTACATACATACATACATATGGTATTATTACTTCGTTATATACTGTTATGTGTACTGAATTAGATGGGTTAAATTAAGAATGTCCGTTTGGGCTATTGCATTTTTCGTTTTGGTATTATGGCATGGAAATGCTTACTGGTTTGTTGTATTGTGAGTAATTAATATAAATTTCTACCAATTCTTAATGACACGAAAAGCTTTTGTTTAAAGTTTCTTAACAAAATAATTACTTAACATATATCCTATTTATATTTGGATATCGTTGCAGTACTAACTGCTGTTGTTTGCTTTCCACCGCTAAGCACCACAAAAGGTGCTTTTGTTTCTTTCTGTTTCTGCTGCAACATGGTAAGCGTACCCAATGGCGTATCTGTGGAGCTCATAGTCTTCATCAACTAAAAAAATAATAAAAGCAATAATAAAATATGTTGTTGTTTAAGGAATCACATTCCTCAGTTTCACTTACGCCTTCTTGCTCCATTTTTTTCAAACGCTTCTCAATTTTATTTTTTCCTGGCCCTTTGCCATGGAATTTATGTGACAAATAGCGGAAAGCTTCTTTTGAATTCAGTATACGTCCATTGTCATCAATGTATTCTAGTTTGACGTTTGGTTTAAAAGTATCTTTATCTTTGAATTCCATTATAGGTCCGGCGTGGAAGCGATCGCGTCTACCAAATTTATCATCTTCACTGTGAATGGAAAATATTTAATTTGAATTTTAATTAAAAATTATAAAACATTTTGCTCATTTGTTCACTAACACTGCCGATTTGTCTTCAATTGAGTAATTCTTCGCTTGCAGGTGTGCCATCTTCGAATTACTTGGACGATTATGCTCTTCTTTCTCCAAATAACCTTTAGATAGGGCCAGCCGCAGAGCATTTGCTACACCAGCGCTAACATCAGGTTCCTCATCTAAAATCGCTACTTCCTCTATATTATCTGCAATATCCTCAAACTCAGCAGGCTGGACGATTTCATCTGGATTAACCGAATTCCAAGTGCCATGATTAAGGTCGGGCTCATTATGCCGATCATTGTAACGATCGTCATTGCCGTCAATCGTTTCGAAGTCCATCATATCGTTGGAATCTTCGTCGCGATTTCCAGCCATACCATAAGTGGGTATATCACCGAGTGTGCGGCAGAATTCTGCAGTGGCATTGAGCACAATATTTCCATCTGCACCACGAATGCCTCCCTCGCCATCTGCACCATCAATGGGCTCTGCTTTAATCTCATGTTTGATACTGTTCACGTCAATGGGGAAGGGCTTTTTAATTATGTTTTCCTTTTGTCTTAATTTACGTGCTTTAGAAAGAATGCGTTCAAGATCCTCGTCTTCTTCCTCAGCCTTGACCTCTGAAGCTGCATCCTTTATATCGTCAGTGTCCAAATTTTCTTCATCATAATGTCGTCCCCTCCGCCTACCCAAGTGCTGCTCTATTGGTTCGTCATTCACAGATAATAGATCTTCCACTTTTAACTTTTTCCTTAACTTCTTCACCTTTTTCTTTGGTTTTTTGAATCTGTTAAAAAAAGTGTTTTATTTATTTTGTCAAAGCATACGTTTTTACAAACACAGAAACTTACATTGCCAGCTCGGCTTCCGAAAATGTGTCTGACGCTAGTTTTATTCTAGCATCCTCCAAAGTCTCTAATCTTTTTCCTGCTAATTTTGTTTTTATCTATAAAGTAGCAGATTAATATATGACATTGACATGGTGTTTGCATTTCAAGTACCTCTAGCAATTTCCTACGATGTTCTCGTTCTTCTTCTAAATTATCACCAATTACAAAGTCCTTCCTCTTTTTATTTCCATCGAGGTCTTCATCGTATTTCTCCAAAATACCGCGTTCAATTGGATTGCCGAATTCATCGTACTGTTCTTCGTACACGTTGTACCCATAACTGAGAGGATTTTGCTTTTTATTTGCAATGTTTTTACGGTAACGTTCTTCGTCTATCAAATTAACGTTTACCAAAGCATCATCTTCTTCATCTAAAACTCCTTTATCTTTTAGTGTTAAAATAACAGTTTTTCCTTCAGTGAACTCATTCATATCGTGCTCTACTCGCAACCCTTTCAAATGCTTATCACTATAGGCCTTGCGACGCGCGGCTGCCTTCTCTTTCTCCACCAAGTCATTCACCCCGAATTCGGCATCCATTTCATCAATCATTTTAGCCTAATAAAAGTAAAAAAAAAATTGTTTTATGTATACTATATAAATTAGTACAAATTATTTGTAGGTATATGGTTGCATAATTTGTACGTACTCTCTTTTCAGCTTTCCTTTTTTCATCGACAGCTTGTCTGTTTCGTGATACCCATTTGGATACATCATCCGTTTCCTCATCCGATTCACCTAGTGTGCGTATGCGTGATAACTGATCCTCTAAGAACCGCTTTTCCTTTTTTTGTTTCAGTTTCTCACGCAGTTTTTCAGCTTCAGCCTTCTCCTTTAAGTTCGACGCGGGCTTATGTAGGAACTCACCCCATTCATCTTTGTACGAAGATAGTTCTTTTTCCCCAGGTGCAACCTTTTTGGCTTCTACAGCTGCAGCAGCAGAGGAAGAGGAAGGTTTTGTAGGACCGCTATCCACCTCAAGAGGTTTTAAACCCAGCTTTGCGCGCAGTTTATTGGTTTCTTCAATAGATAGACAATCGCCTGCCCCGTTTTCGGCGATAGGTGACGGAGAGTGTTTTTCTCGAACATGTCTATCTTTAATCTTCTCTGCAGGTCTGTTGCGTTCACGCTCCCGGTCTCGATGGTGCCTATCAGGCTCTGGCCGCTGCTCCCGGTCTCGAGCGCGTTCCCGTTCTCGCTCACGATCACGCTCCATTCGTTCACGCTCCATTCGTTCACGCTCTTTTTCACGTATTTCTCTATCCCGAACGCGATCTCTTTCCCTCTCACGTTCTCGATCTCTTTCAGCACGCTCACGCTCCATATCCTTTTCTTTGCGACGCTCCATTTCTCGTTCTTTCTCATAACGCTCACGTTCTTTTTCGCGATCACGCTCTCGAGCCCATTCTCTCTCCTTTTCACGTTCCTTGCCGCGTTCCAAATCCTTAAGGCGCTCATAATTTTTTTCACGCTCAATAGGGTGCTTCGATAATTTCGGCGGAGGTGGTTCCCTCTCAACAACAATATCTCTTTCATATGATTTCACTGGCTGGTCATCCAGGGGTACTTCAACACAATCCGAACCTGTAAATGGAGAAACAAAATATTTAATGCCTTGTGATACCCTTGTTGTGCCTCGTTTAATACGGAGATTTCAATTTCAAGACTTCTTTCGAATAGTGGCGAAAGTTTCTTACATTCTCAATATCTCCAGGTAAATCTGAAAAATAGTAGAAAAGAGAAAAACGGGATGATTCATCGCAAACTCTTTGGGCTCTGTGCAACTCTTGGAATAGAATACAAGTTATTTTATTAAAATCGCTCTTTGCATAGTCTCGCATGCTATTCCATTTAAAGCGGCCTTGACACATATGTCGCCGCACATCATGAATTGCACAACTTAATACTATGTGTAATATTTATTACACCAGCGCCAATTGGCGCACTTACTATCGTCTGAATCCGATTCCTCCAAAGCAATAACTTCTGTGTGATGATGCGTACGTTCTTTTTCCCGTTCGCGATCACGTTCCTTATGCTTCTTGTGGCGGTGGCGCTCCTTATGTTCCTTATGACGCTTGTGTTTGTGATGACGGTGCGTGGATGAACTTTCTCCCTCCTCATTGCCATCAATGCTTCGATGCTTATGTTTTTTGTCTTTCTTATGTTTTTTCCCATTCGATGAAGAACCCATTTTATCAACTTTACTGGAAATTACCTCACTTTTTCGCACAAAAGTCAATTTTTCACAAATTATCGCAAACGTTCATGATTGTCAGCAAATGTCAGCTTGACGTTTTTAGTGTACGTTCAGTGAAACATTACTATCGATTATAGTGGTGTGTTCAATTCTTGACCAGATAATTACCCAACCTACGTGAGCACTTCTTTAGTATAAAAAAAATTTTTGTATTGCAATCTATAGTTCGTCGATTGTTCTTTACTGTTCGTCCATTTTTAACGTTTGTTCGGGAAGATGCGGTAAAACGTGGCAATGCAAGCGGCGTTTCTACGCATTTTTCTGTCAAAGTGTGAAATCGAAGGTCTACTTTCCCGTGTAAAAAGCCAGAAAGTCCTTTTTGCAGATTTGTAAAAATCACTTTCGGAAATAAAGATTGCAAGGTGTAACCAGCGTTTACAGCGTTACAGCGTCGATATTTATCTTGGAAATGAAGATTTTTTGGGCTGTTTTTTATTAAAAATCTTCAAAAGAAGTATAACGAGAAAAAAGGGGCGGTAAAATTTAAAAAACAACGTCCATGTAAAAATATAAATAAAAAATATAATTAAAAAGCTCAAAATTGTTATGGAACTTTGCGTTATGGTTTTTGATTGATAACGAGCTATTCTTTCATAAAAAAAAACAAGTAATTTTCGTACAAAAAACACAAGCGCCTTCAATTCTCATATAAAAATTGATCGTCAATTTCTTTATGAACCAATGACCGTATCTAAGTAATCGAACAATCCGCTTTTAAGCGCTCGGAACTAAAAACAAAATAGAGGCTATAATAAGGCGAGATCAGGGGTCAAATCGTCACATACGATATTGTATTACTCGTCACGTAAAAACTCATTTTTCGGATTATGACATACGTAAACGCTTATACGACTTACGTAAAACGTAATTTTCTTTCGTATGGTTTTCGATCCGGGAACGGATGTTACGATTCGAGCCTAGCTATTTCCACAAATGAAATTACAAATTTCACATTCAGCGGGAGTTGTCACAAACGGTGGTTTAATATTGGCAAATATTCGATATGCTACAGCTGGAAAACTATGTGCTGCATCGCCCTCGTATCAAAAGTTTAAAAAACTTAGGCGATCTCTTAACAACGGGGTAAGGCCCGTCGTAAGGATGTGTCAGTGAAGGACGAATTGAGTCGTTTCGCACGAAGACATGAGATGCAGAATGCAATGCTGGTGACACGAAAACTTTAGGCGTCGTATGATGTGCGGTTTTTGTAGGGCGAAGTTTCTGCATTAGCGACCGGAACTGAGATACCATCTCCTGTGTTACTGCTCTCGCCTTTGTTGACTGAAAAAATTCACCTGGGAGTCGTAGCGTTGAACCATAAACGAGCGTAGCAGGGCTGGCGTGAATGTCGGGTTTGTAAGCTGCACGAAGACCGAGGAGGATCGTTGGCAAATGATGTACCCACTTGTTCGGGTCGTGGCACATGATAGCAGCTTTAAAACTTCGGTGCCACCTTTCTAAAATGCCGTTTGCCTGTGGGTGGTAAGGGGTTGTTCGGAGGTGAACAGTGCCAATCGTGTTCAACAACTCGGCGAATAGGGCGGAGTCGAATTGTCGGCCCTGGTCTGACGTAATTCGTGTTGGAACGCCAAATCGCGAAATCCAATGAGATAAAAGCGCTTTGGCAACGGATTCGGCGGACATATCAGGCATCGGCGCTGCCTCTGGCCAGCGGGTGAACCGGTCGATCATTGTTAGGCAATAGCGCTGTCCTTCGCACAGCGGGAACGGGCCAACAATATCGATATGAATGTGCGCAAAACGTTGGGTTGGCGGTTCGTAGGTCGCTGGAGCAGATGCAGTGTGTCGGTGGACTTTTGACCGTTGGCATTCCTGACAGTTCCGCACGAATTTTGCTGTCTCCCTCTTCATTCCGGGCCAAACAAACCTTTGCGTCATGAGGTTGACTGTTGCACGAACGCCTGGATGCGACAAACCGTGAATCTTTGCTAGCAGTAATCTGCGAAACTCATGGGGTATGTACGGCCGAATGTTCGAGGTTGAAGTATCGCATACTAGTTTCGCCATACTGTTGGGGATATCAAAATACTTTAGTAAAAGTGAATTACTTCGCGTACCTGATTCGCTTAGGAGTGCTTGTAGATGGGTGTCAGCTTGCTGGGCGGCTGCGACCTTAACGTAGTCAATAATTTGTTCGATTGCTTGCATTCGAGAGAGCAGGTCTGCTGTGGAATTTTCTGCACCGGGTACGTGTCGAATATCGGTCGTGAATTGACCGATGAAATCCAACTGCCTTACACGACGAGGTGAAGCTTTTTCTAGCTTTTGGCGAAAGGCGTATACTAGCGGGCGATGGTCGGTGACAACATGGCATTTTCGGCCCTCGATCATGTACCGAAAGTGACATACGCCTTGGTATGCCGCGGTCAGCTCACGGTCGTACGTACTATATTTACGTTGCGCGCTGGTCAGCTTCTTCGAATAAAAACCGAGTGGCTGAAGTTCTCCACCTTGGAGTTGGTGCAATGCGGCTCCGACAGCGGTGTCCGAAGCGTCGACGTATAAGGCTAACTCAGCGCCGGGTGACGGATGCACGAGTAATGTTGCATTCGCCAGTTCTGATTTGCAACGGTCGAAGGCGTCTTCGGCTTCACTGTTCCACACGACAATTGTACGGTCGTTCTTCTTATTGCCCGTAATTAGCTGTTGAAGGTGTGACTGGTACTCGATAGCGTTCGGTAGGAATTTTCGGTAGAAGTTTACCATGGCGATGAAGCTCTTCAGTTCTTTTGCTACTGTGGGCTTCGGAAAATCGCGAATCGCTGCTATCCTCTCAGGTAGAGGACGTATGCCTCTAGCGTCGACCAGGTGCCCCAAAAACTTCAACTCGCTCTTACCAAACTCGCATTTGGAAACGTTTATTGCCAGATTATTGTCCCGGAGGCGCTTGAAAACTTCGCGTAAATCTTGCTTGTGCTGCTCGACCGACGGCGAAGCGATACAAATATCATCGATATAGGGAAACGTATGATCTAGGCCCCGCAAAACTTCATTTATGAGCCTTTGAAATGTCTGCGCAGCGTTGCAGAGGCCGAAGGTCATAAACCTAAACTCGAACATCCCAAATGGCGTCGTGATTGCCGTTTTAGCTATATCATCCTCGTGGATGGGTACTTGGTGGAACGCACGTTGGAGGTCGATTTTTGAAAACACTGTCTTGCCTTGTAAATTCGCCGTGAAGTCGGTTAGATACGGCAAGGGGTATCGGTCAGGCAACGTTTGCGAATTGAGTGCGCGGTAGTCCCCGCATGGCCTCCAGGTGCCATCGTTTTTCGTCACCATATGCAACGGGCTTGACCAGTTGCTGCTGGACGGTCGACATATGCCCGCCTTAAGTAAAAAGTTGAACTCGTTACGTGCAGCTGTCAGTTTCTCGGGCGCAAGACGTCGTGGTCTAGAAAACACTGGCTGGCCCGTTGTTAAAATGCGGTGGACGACCGTCGATTTTGTCAGGGAACCATGAGGCGCCAGCTTCGTGATCTCCGAAAACTCGGACAACAGATCGGCGAACGGGTCGGTGGAGTCGAATGTTTTGATTTGGGTTGCCTTGCATAGCGTTGGCGCAGTCAAAGATGATCGAAGTTTCGTGAGGTTGTCGATGATTCGGTTACGACGCAAGTCGATAAGCAAATCGTAAAAGCGAATAAAGTCCGCGCCGATTATCGGGGTTGTGACATCGGCAACTATGAAGGACCACGAGAAATCCCGACGAAGGCCCAAGTCCAAGTTGATTCGTTTCTCTCCGACGACTTTGATGGCGGAACCATTGGCAGCGTAGAGTTTTGTTGCGGTTGGTCGAATGTCATAGGGCTTTGCAGTGATGGGTAGCACCGACACGTCGGCACCAGTGTCGACGAGAAACGTTTTGCCTGTATGTCGTTCGTGCACCTGCAAACGAAGTACTTTGCGCTCTGTGACGAGATCCTCGTTGCAATCCGCCACGCGCTTCAACAGTCATGATGGTTCGGACGATACCGCTCGAAGAGCACGTTTGCTCTGGCGGCAAGGACTGCGGCATTTCTTAGCATCTCGGCCGTATTTTAGATGATACCAACAGTCCCGGGCTGAAGATGATTCTCGCGAT